TATATATGAGATTTTTCCTGGAGTCCCCTCTTCGTCTGCTGGATCCAAAAATTTTTTCTTTTTTTTTTCCCAAGAATTTTTCTTTTATAAATATTTTATTTATTTATTCATGAGAGACACACAGAGAGAGGCAAAGGGAGAAGCAGGCTCCCCACAGGGAGCCTGATGCGAGACTTGATCCCAGGACCTTGGGATCACGCCCTGAGCCAAGGGCAGACACTCAACTGCTGAGCCACCCAGGCATCCCTGGTTCCAAGAATTTATACTAGATTCTCTCAACTCTGGTCATCCCTGCAAAGGGTACCCCAGCATGTCATTTTCCTTCAAAGCTCATAGGGCTCATCATATAATAGGAGAAAGCTAAATTAGGTAAAATTATAAAATAGGCAGTTAGGTATAACTGTACCTAATTGGGGAACACTAAACTCTTGTTTATTTAAGTTTTTCATTCTGGGGAACACTAAACTCTTGTTTCCTTAAGTTTTTTGGAGCGTGGAGGCTGAAATTTTAAAAAGTTACATAGTTATTTTAAAAAGGACAATAAACACATGTTTTTATAAAAGACAACTGGGATGTAATGCAATCTGAGCAAGGGGTCCAAATTCAAACTTGGCATCAGCCCACACAGCCCTGGAACTGAGTCTGCCCCAGGAGCAGGTTTCAGCCTGTAGTGTCATGTGAGAGACCCCATCCACCTTTCTGGCCTTAACTCACACTCCTCCACGTCCTGCTCTGTATTCCAATTTCATCCAAATATACTTTCTGGAACACACACACACACAGACACTCCAACAATGAGACCTTAATGTCAAAGATGACCTAATAGTGAATTAAAACCTAAGGGACTGGGGCACCTGGGTGGCTCAGTTGGTTAAGCATCTAACCTCAGCTCAGATCATGATCTTGGGGACGTGGGATCAAGCCCCGAGTCTGGCTCCACAATCAGCAGGGAGTCTACTCATGCCTCTCCCTCTCTCCCTGCTTGTGCTCTCTCTCACTTTCTCTCAAATAAATAAATAAAATCTTGAATAAAACAAAAAACAAAAACAAAACTAAGGGGCTAGCAAAACTACCCTATAGTGTTTGAGGTCAGAAGAGTAGGTAGCTGGGGCAGAAGTACTGATTGGGAGCCAGCAAAACAGAGTCTACTGGACTGCTGAAAACGTTCTGATCCTGATCTAGGTGATTACACAGCTATATACATATAATAATTCATCCAATTGTATATTTGAGATTTATAAATTACACTTCAATTAAAAAGTGAGAAAACAAAGTAAAACAGAGAACCTGAAAGTCTGCTCTAATTTGGATTTGTTGACATGTATTTTATGACCCAGAATATGGTCTGTCTCAATGAATGTTCCATGTTTACTTATTAAGAACACATCTGAGGGGCTCCTGAGTGGTTCAGTCAGTGAAGCATCTGATTTGGACTCAAGTCATGATCCTGGGGTCCTGGGATCGAGCCCCGTGTCAGGCTCCCTGCTCAGTGGGAAACCTGCTTCTGCTTCTCCCTCTGCCTCTGCCTTTGCTGCTGCTCCTCCCCCAGCTCATGCTCTTGCTCTCTCTCTCTAAAATAAATAAAATCTTAAAAATAAATAAATAAATAATGCATCCTCAGCTGCTACGGGGTGGAATGTTCTGTAAATGTCAATTAGACAGTATTGGTTGATGGCGCTGGTTAGCTCTTCTATATCCTTGCTGATTTTCTGTTAACTCTATTTAATTGAAAGACGAGTCTCCAACTAGAATTGTGGGTTTCTCTATTCCTCCTTTCAGTTATGACAGTTTTTGCTTTGTATATTGTGGAGCTCTTTGTATGTTGTTAAGGTGCACACACATTTAAGACACACATTTAAGTCTTCTTGTATAACTGGCCCTTTTGTCATTATATAATGGCTCACTCTCTCTTTTTTTTTTTTAAGATTTTATTTATTTATTAATGAGAGACACAGACTGAGAGGCAGAGACATAGGCAGAGGGAGATGCAGGCTCCCCGCCAGGAGCCTGATGCAGGACTCGATCCCAGGATCATGACCTGAGCCAAAGGGAGAAGCTCAACCACCAAACATCCAGGTGGCTTTGTCTCTGGTTATTTCTTTGATCAAAACACTTTGACGTTAACAGAGCCACTTCAACTTTCTTTTAATCAGCATTTACATGATATATCTTTTTCTATCTTTTTAATATTTGCCTACCTAAAAAAAAAATTGCCTATCTATATCGTTAATTTTGAATTGAGTTTCTTATGGAAAACACAGAGTTTGTTCATGATTTTTCCTCCATTCCAGTAATTTTTTTAACTGATACATATAGTTTCCACTTAATATAATAATTGATATCTTTTAATTTGGTCTATCATTATCCATTTGTTCCTTTTGTTTTTACTTCTTCTGTTTCCTCTTTCTTGTTTTCCTGTGAGTTGTTCGAACATTTAAAAAAATTCCATTTTGGGACACCTGGGTAGCTCAGCAGTTGAGCACCTGCCTTCGGCTTGGGCGTGATCCTGGGATCCAGGATCAAGTCCCATATCGGGCTTCCTGTAGAAAGCCTGCTTCTCCCTCTGCTTGTGTCTCTGCCTCTCTCTGTGTGTCTCTCATGAATGAATCAATCTTTAAAAAAGTAAAAATAAATAAAATTCCATTTTGATATGTTTATAGTAATTCCTACTATACCATGTTGTTCTAGGTTTTTTAGTGGTTACTCTAGGGATTACAATGTTCTGTATTTAACTTTTCAAAATCTATTCAGACTCAACATTTTACCTCTTTAAGTAGAATGTAGAAAACTTATCACTATATAGGTCCCTTACTCTCCTCCCTTATATTACAATGTTATGATTTTTGTTGTCAAACTATTTTAAAGAATGCAAGGAAAGAAATAGCCTATTCTATTTATCCAGATACTTACTATTACTTACTTTATTACTGATATTCCAAGTCTCCTTCTGGTATCATTTCGCTTTTATCTAAATAACTTCCTATACAATTATTTTGGAGCAGACCTGGCAACAAATCCTCTTGGATTTTCCTCAGCTGAGAACATTTTTATGTCACCTTCTTTCCTTTTTTTTTTTTTTTTTTGTCACCTTCTTTCCTGACAGATATTTTTACTAGGTAAAGAATTCTAAATTGAGAAGTCCTTTCTTTCAGGACTTTAAAAATGTTGTACCACTGTCTTCTAGCCTCCATGCTTTCTGAGGAGAAATCTGCACTCATTCAAATCATTGTTTCCTACAAGTAATGTGTCAATTTCTGTGGCTACTTTTAATATTTTCCTTTGTTTTTAACAATTGAATTATGATGTACCTAGGTAGGGCTTTCTTTGGTTTCTCCTGTTACGAGTTTGCTGACAGATCCATGTCTTCCTTATTAAGTGTCTGAAGTATTTGAGAAATTTCAGATATATTAATTCACAACTATATTTTCAAAGATTAACTATGGAATGATCTTAAATGTTTGGAGAATTTAATCAGTTAAATCCATGAGCTATTAATCAAACAAAATAGCAATAGTTTTTATATAAAAACATTAATATAAACTCTAGAGCCAATCTGCCCAAGTTCAGATAATGGTGCTTCCACTTACTAAATGCCTGACTTGGGTAAGTTACTTAACTCTTTATGCCTGAGTTGTCTCCTTGGTAAAATGAGGCTGATAATAATAATATCTGGCTCACAGAGTTTTTGCAAGGATGAAATGAGTTAATATATGTAAAGGTTCAGAATAATCTCTGGCATACAATAAGTGCTATATACATGCTAGCCACTTTTGTTATTTTAAATTGAGTACAAAGGCTTAAGAAAAAAACCATTTTTTTTTGAGAGAGTGAGAGAGTGTGCATGCACACACAACAGTGGGAGGGAGGGGCAGAAAGAGGGTGAGAGAGAATTTTAAGCAGTCTCCACACCCAGCATGGAGCCCTACTTAGGGCTCAGTCTCACGACCGTGAGATCATGACCTGAACCAAAGTCAAGAGTCAGATGCTTAAGTGACTGAGCCCTCCTGGTACCGCAAGAAAAACTAACTTTTTAAATTAAAACTTTAATAATTTGACTATTTATCAAAATACAGATGTTTGTAAGCATTTCATTTAAACAGAAAAGCCTTGTCTTTGTGTAAAAGCCTATTAACCACAGAGTACAGCCCCACAAGGAAATTAGGGGGGGAGCCACAACTTGGGTTACCTTTAAGTCTCTCACAAAAGCTCACATACTCAATAAACCACAGATATTGATTAAATGGGTGAACTTGATGATAGTCCGTCAATAGATGGTGCCTACCAGCATCTATAATATATAGGCATGCCATACCTGAGGTCAATCAAAGAGAACAGAGGTTATTTGGGATCCCAACAACAGTATTCTACAGAAATGATCTTATTTAAGATGTACCTGTTCTAGTAGCTAGCCAATATTGATGCTAATCTTTTTTTTTATAATTATTTCAGCGGAAAAACTAGAGATTATTTAACCAAGTCAGTCAGGTGCTTTGAGAAACAAAATACGTAGAAGAAAATACCTGCTTCCAAAGTTTTCTATTACATGTTAAACACCAAAATGTTTTCCTTTAAAATGATGCTACAGGCAGCCCTGGTAGCTCAGCGGTTTAGCACTGCCTTCAGCCCAGGGTGTGATCTCGGAGACCCAGGATCGAGTCCCATGTCAGGCTCCCTGCATAGAGCCTGCTTCTCCCTCTGCCTGTGTCTCTGTCTCTCTCTGTGTCTCAAATAAATAAATAAATAAATAAATAAATAAATAAATAAATACATAAATAAATAAATAAATAAAATGCTACATTTTTGGAGGCAGGGAAAAAAAGTTTAAAAAAATACATGTTTTTAGTTATATTCCACTTCAATTAAAGATGGTTTTAAAGTATGGTTTGGGTGAGACACTAAGGCCAAATCAGAAGTAAATTATCCCATCCTAGAATGCACGAGCACATTAAATGTTAGCCATCACACCTGCATGCTAAGGAGTAAAGAAAAGCAAGACTCACCTCAAAGTTGTACTTTTTCATCTGGTTGAAGTGTCTGCAGTACAGATAGAGCATGCCAATGCTGCTGCCCACTGCGATGTAGTCCCCATTGGTATCGAGAGCTGTGAGGTAGACCACAATAGAGCGGAAACCCTTCTGGACCTTTGTGGGAATGGCATTGAGGAGATAGTATAAGGGGCAGAATTCTCTGAACGTAATAGGCTCTGATACTGATGCCATGGCCAAGGCTTTCACAGATGATCTTCAGGCAGGAAAAGGAATGTTTACTTGGCATCTGGGGAAGCCTGGGGGCTAAAGAACAAGGCATTAGAGTTCTTTCAATGTCCGTATGCCAAAGACAAGTCACATTTAACAGCAGGATCAAGGAATTGCAGGTGGGTAAGAATGATAGCTGGAGCTTAACTGAATGGAGAAAGTACACTGGTGTCATTAAAATCGCTTTTGAGCATTTTATTTCAACAGGCACCTCATTATGTACTGGCACCTGTGATTCGCATCATGCAAAATACTAAAGAGGAATGGAAAGAATATTAAAAACAGTTCTTTTTCTCAAGTAGTTTATGATTCAGCCAGGCAGGCAAAAAGAAACAGTGAAGATACATAAAACCACATGTGATTAGTGCTACTCTGTGGGTCTTGATGAGAAGAGGGAGAGAGCAATGTGGAAAAGGCTTCACTGGAAACATCCTGAACTATCAAGCCCACCAAGAAGGATGGACTATGGAAAAGAGATACAGGGAAGACACTGTACCAGGAGAATAAACCAATCCTGATGTAGAAATACATTCACTGTGTTGAGAGAGCAGAGAAACACATCCCCCAGCTGGATGCCTGCAGCCTCCTTGATGCCCAGTGCCTCAATTACATATCTGTCCCACAATGAGACCAATTCCTCTTGGCACTCTGATTTCAAAGCTTCCCTCAATAAAGATACTCAGTCCTGACACAGCGCCTTGTAATTTATGAAGTGCTCAGTAACTTGTTTAATCTGTACCCTACCTGTAAGATCAGTAGTGTCATCCCCAACTTAGAGAAGAAGATACTGAGGGCCCAACAGTGACAAGACTTGCTCAAGGCCACACAGCCAAGACTTGAAACTAGGTCTTCTCCTTCCAAGTCCTGGGCCTTTCCAATCCCATAGCCACAGCTCTGACAGACCAAAGTGGCTACAGGTGGGTGCCCTGTTCCTTATTAGAGCTGGAGGGGTATTTTATTCCCTCAGTTCCATGGAGACTTTCAAGTCCCTCTAGTAAAAACTTTTGGGGATGCTGGATTTATTGGAACTGTGGGTTTTCTATTGCTATAGAAATAGCTTTCTATAGCTCTCTTATAATGAAACTCACACCAAATTCATTCTCACCCAGGGACCCTTGTATTGGCTGTTCCTTCCACCTGGAATGCTCTTTCTCCAGATGTCACTCAGAATTTGCTTCTTCTCAGTATGAAGGTCTCTGCTGAAATGTCCCTTCTCTATAAGCTCCCCCACCTGCCCATGTCCTAAAGAGAGCTTACTGCTACCCTAAAGAGAGCTTACTGCCACACTGAACACTCTCTATTCTCCTCTCCCTACTTTTTCACACATCCTCTTTCTTTGCTGTTGACTGGCCATCTCTGCCTGACGCCATCACTGGCCTGTAAGGCCTAGAGAAGCAGGACCCACATCTGCTTCACTCACCCGTGTAGCCCCCAGCACCTAGAAAAGGATCAGGCATATCAGAGGTGCTCAGTTAACTATTTATCGAATAGATGAATGAGTATAAAAAAGAAAAATTTCCAAGAAAGGAATAAGTGATAAGAATGGAAGACCAAGAAAATATCTTTTCTCCAAGATGGCCCCAGTTCAATGCTGGAATAATTATCCCTTGGATCTGTATGGCATACTCAGTCTTTGAAGCGTTTTAAGACTCTGGTTTCATTTGATAATCACAATAGTTAATACAGTGAAGCAAGCAGGGTAATTTATGAGAGCTCTCCTAAAGGTAATAATAAGGATATCTCGCTGTCATGGCTAAGAAAACTCACTAATACACCCCCTTGTAGCAGAGGCTAAAACTTTGGGAGGTTCAGAAATTTGCTCACGCTCCCAAAGCTTTAAATGCCTAGTGCAACAGGCAACTGGATGGTGAATGCGGGTCCTGTGCATATGGCAGAAGGGCTCATCAACTTACAACTTTTTAAGGGCAAGAACAATTTTTTGTGTATTAAAGTGCTCCAGAAAGGTGGGCAGGGCTCACATGACACAGAAATCAAATGAAAATGAAATGGCTTTCAGGCAAACTCAAGTGAGAACAGTTGCTGACAGACACCGTGGGAAAAGAGATAAGTCATTTACGGGCATGGGACACTAACACCAAAACAACAACAACAACAGCAGCAATAATGGTTATAGCTAATGATGTTGCATCACAGAAACTATCCTTAGCACACTAACTCATGAAATCCTCACAAAAATTCCTAGGAGTTTGGGACCACTGTTATCTCCATCTTAGAGATGAGGAAACTACTCCCATTTTCTTTCCATCTTTAAGTGTAAGGGCAGCATAGGAGCAGGAAAGCCTTTGTTTCCCTCAGTGGGTCTGTGCATGTGAACACGTTGACAAGCTGTAATCTACATAATGTTTATAAATTGAAATCTTATTTTCATTTTAAAAGTTACGTTTACCGTCAAAAAATTGGAATATGGGAATTCATGAAGAACTAAATAAATGCCACTCATAATCCCCTCGTACAGAGATACACTATATACAGATAGCCATAGCCATGTGTGCAGACACACTTTTTTTACTTCATAAATCACAAGCATTTGCCATGTCATTAGATAGTCCCCTAGAACATATTTTTAAAGACTTTATATAATAACTGCAGAGAACCCGCTGTATATATACAATTTTCCCAACCAAAAGATTTTTTTTAAAGATTTTATTTATCTATCATCTCTCTCTCTCTCTCTCTCTCTCTCTCTCTCTCAGAGAGAGAGATAGCAAGAAAGAGCATGAGCAGGGGATAAAGGGAGAAGCAGACTCTCCACTGTACAGGGAGCCCAATGTGGGGCTTGATTCCAGGACCTTGGGATCAAGACCTGAGCTGAAGGCAGATGCTTAACCAACTGAGCCACCCAGGCGTCCCCCAATCAAAATATTTTAATTTCTGCTTAGTGAACAAGATCTCCTAGGACGCAACTGGGAGTACTAAGCACTTCACAAATGTCAGCTTGAACTATTTCTTCCTTTAAAAGTCACTTTTCACAAGTAGCTTTGTCAAATTATGACATTTATATTTTTAAAATTAATTAACCTGATTTGATACTATTCACTGACAGTTCCATAATCTCCATACAAGAGGGGATTTGAGATTGCAGTCTGGTTAGAAGAGTGCCAGAGGATTTACCTTGAAACTCATTTGCAGGGCAGGCACACTATCCTAACTTGCAGTGGCTTAGGACATATTAATGGATAATATAGAGGGTCAGAGTCCCTGGAATCATCTCTTTGGCACAATCAATGATAATACTCTCAACTTCAAAAATGTGTAAGCATCCCTCCCTCACTAACCCTGTCCTAGCAGGGATTAAAACTCATCACAATTCTGTGGCAGATAATGGGCAGTTTAATCAAATTCTGAATCGATTTTTGAAGTGAAATCCTAGCATTCATCCCTGATTTCTCCTTCTCCCTCTCTCTCACCCCTACAACAACCCTTCACCTCATTCCATCTGCTCTGTCACCTAACTTGCCTCACACCTGACCTCTTCTCACCATCTATGTGGTCATGCCCAAGATGAAGGCATCACACATCTCACCAGAACCTCTGCAACATTCTTCTAATGACTGTTCTCCTACTCCCATACCTGGCATCTAGAGCCTGTGCTCATACACAGCAGTCAGATTGAACTCTGTGACTTCTGTGCTCCAAAAAAACACCAACAAGACATCAAAAGACAACTCATAGAACTGGAAAAAATATTTGTTAATCATATATCTGATAAAACATTTGTATCCAGAATATATAGAGAACTGTTAAATCTCAATAATAAAAAAATAATTCTTAAATGGGCAAAGGATCTGAATAGACATTTCTCCAAAAACATAAAAATAGCCAATAACCACAGTAAAGATGCTCACCATCATTAATCATCAGGGAAATGCAGAACAAGACCACAATGAGCTATCACTTTATATACTAAGATGGCTATAACAAAAAGAGAGAGATCAACAAGAATGTAAAGAAACTGAAATCCTCATACACTGCTGGTAGAAAATAAAATGATGATGCAGCTCCCATTAAAAAAGTCTAGCAGTTAAACATGGAATTACCACATGACCCAGCAACTATACTCCTAGGTGTATATCCAAGAGAAATGAAAACATATGTCTACACAAAAATATTATGAAGGGAATACTACTATTACCTTCATAATAGTAAAAATAAAAAACACCAATTGTCCATGAAAACAAAATAATAGTATATCCATACAATGGAATATTATTCAGCAATAAAAAGGAATGAAGTCTGATACATGCTATAACATGATGAATCTTGAAAGCATAATGCTAAGTGAAAGAAGCCAGACATATAAAACCACATATTGATTTTATTTATATGAAATGCCCAGAATAAGCAAACCTATACAGACAGAAAGTAAATCAGTGACTACCTAGGGCTAGAAGCTGGGAGTGGGGGGTGGGGGTTACTGCTAAATAGTATGGGGTTTCTTTTGAGTGATGACAAAATTCTAAAATCGTAGTGATGCTTACACATCTCTGTGATATACTAACCATATATATGGTTTTTAGTATACCCATATCTCATATGTATATGAGATGTAAACGATATCTCAAATTATTATAAAAAATAAGAAAAGGAAGAGGAAACAGTTGTCCAACCCCATTCATCCCAAAACTTCCATAAACTACGAATAGAAGGGAATTTCTTCAAGCTGATAAGGAATATTTACAAAAACCAGCAGCTAACCTCATACTTAATGGTGAGAAACTCAAAGCTTCCCCACAAAGATCAGGTACAAGGGAAGGACCTCCCCACGTCACCACTCCTTTGCAACATCGTACTGGAAGTTCTAGTTAATGCAATAAGACAGGAAAAAGAAAAAGTATACAGATTAGGAAGGAAGAAATAAAACTGTCTTTGCAGATGACATGATCATCTATGTAGAAAGTCTGAAAAAATCAACAAAAAACTCCTGACACTAATAAGCAATTATAGCAAGGTTACAATACAAACTTATCATACAAAAGCCAACTACTTTCCCAAATACAAGCTATGAACAAGTGGAA